AATGTGAGATAATAAATTTGTATTGTTTAAGCAACTAAATCTGTGGTAATTTGATGCAGCAGCAGAAAACTAATACAGTTATAACTTCTGTTTTAAGGTCATGGATAATTCTAACGTCTGTGTTATCTCAGGGTTGGTGAGTGTTGTTTACTCCCTTACAAATTGTAATTTGCCTGTTTCTTCATATGCTGAATAGTTTTAGCTCTTATCCTCATTTTTAGATATCTTGTGCAATTCTGAATCTTGTTTAAAACCTTGTTTGTTTGCTTGTTTTCTAAATCAATCAATTTATCTAGTTAAGGCCACAAGTTTCAACCCACAATTTGTGGGCTCCAGTTCAAAGGTCTGTTCAGTTCTCAAAGCCTTTGTTGTGCTATTTAAATCTGTCACATGTGTGTGATATCCAGTGGTCAGCCTGAGACCTGGGTGTGATATCCAGTGGTCCAGCCTGTAGTTCAATTTTCAAAGCCTTTGGTGTGCTAAACTCAGAGTTGAGCCCAGAAGTTTCTCCACCACTTTATGGAATAGCACTTTTGAGCTTTGCTTTTTCTGTGATCTTCCCAACGTTTTCCCACTCTCTGGGGTCCCTACTTTTGGTCCTTCATCCAGACAAATGGGGCAGCAAAAAGGTTTCCCAACCTTAGTGAGAAATCTAGCGTGCTTCCCTAGATTTCCTGTAGCACCTGAGATCAGGCAGGAGCATTTGAACAAGTTCTGACAAAGGCAACCTGAACACCCACTGAGTTCTAAACTCTTATGAAAAATATTGTTTGGATAAGATTCTTGTGTAATGAGATTTTAAACAAAAGTATAGTAAAGGGGGAAAATTAAACATTTTTAGGTAATTGTAAGCTCACGTTTTTTTCTTTTACTTTTTGTTAATTACATTGATTGGGGTGACGTTAATAGAATCATATAGGTTTCAAGTGTACATTTCTATGATACATGATCTGTATATTGCATTGTGTGCCCACGACCCAAAGTCAAGCCATCTTCCATTACTGTACATTTGGCCCCCTTTACCCTACCCTGCACCCCACCCCCTTCCCTCTGGTAACCATCTACTCTTGTCTGTGTCTATGAGTTTCACAGACAACAGTGAAATCGTGTGGTTCTTAGCTTTTTCCAACTGACTTAATTTGCTTAGCATAATGTTCTCAAGGTCCATCCATGTTGTCACAAATGACAGTATTTCACTTTTTCTTATGGCTGAGTAGTATTGCACTGTATATATGTATATATACATATATATACACATTGTATATGCATTGTGTGTGTGTGGGGGTGTGTGCGTGCCCCTATTGAAGGATACTTTAGTTGTCTCTATGTCTTGGCCATCATGAATAACCCTGTAATGAACATAGGGGTGCATATATCTTTGTGAATACATGTTTTTGAGTTTTTTAGGTAGATACCCAGAAGAGGGGTTGCTGGGTCATACGGCAGCTCTTTCCTTAATTTTTTGAAGAACCACCATACTGTTTTCCATAGTGGCTGTACCAGTTTACATTCCCACCAGCAGTGGATGGGGGTTCCTTTTTCTCCACAACTTCTCCAACACTTGCTATTACTTGTCTTGTTGATAATAGCCATTCGAAAAGGTGTTTCAAGCACCTTTCACCCAGTTTCCACAATGGTAACATCTTGCAAAATTCTTGTAAAATCTCACAACCAGCCGTATTGACACTGATACAGTCAAGATATAGAACATTTCCATTACCAACCACAGGCTCCTTTATGTTGGCTTTTTTTTTAGCCACAACTATTTCCTCCTACCCCACCTCTCTCTAACCCCTTAAGCCCTGGCAACCATTTTTCTGTTTTCCATTTGTATGATTTGTAATTTCAAGAATATTATGTAATGGAATCATACAATGTATGGGCCATAAATATGAGCAAGGAAAAACAAGGGATTCTATGCCAGAACATTAAAATTAGGCATATAGAAAGGAAAGTCTCTTTATAATAGTAGTAACAGGGCTGGGATCAGCATCCAATGCTCAATTTCACTCTTAGCCCAACTGCCTCATAATTTCAATAAACCGTTTCAGATATATATATGTCAGAGATAAATATGTTAGGGATATATATATTTAACAAACATAAATATTAAACACATATATATATACTTCAAGTACATATATATGTTTTTACATTGGGTCTTTTTCAGACGACTCTAAGAATTTCTATTTTCCCTCATACATCTGACACAAATCACCAGGTGCTATAACTATTCCTCTCTCTGTCATTTTCTAACCTGATGGCTTCTTACACTCACTGACTGAAGATTTTTGAAGAATTTGGCTTATAGTCTCTTCTTCATCACTAAAGTCCTGACAACCTCCAAGTAGACTTGAGTGTTCACAAAGGCAACTCCCCCAACATCTAGATCTCTTTGTCCCTTAGCCTCTTAGCTTAGAAAGCCTATAAGAGTAGTCAACTGGAAATTCAACTTCCTGTCACCCAGCCCAACCTCAGTGAGCACACACCTTTTATTTATTACTTCTTATTTGTTTCTGTTAGCTTTTTTCATATGAATTTAAATGTATTCAAGTATCTCCCAAGGTAAAAAAGAAAATAATTTTAAGCCTCCTGTTTCCCCTTTAATTACTATCCTAACTTTCACTTATTCCCAAACCCTACCCAATAAGCTTCTCAAGAGTTCTCTTCAATCCCTGCACTCACTTTCTCTCCTACCACCCACCCCTCCAACCAGTGCTTTTCGTTGTTGTTCCCCAGGGCAATATCATTAGTAACTATTTTTTTTCTTTCTACAGCTCACCGAAGGAAATGTCACAGATTCCAATGACATGAGCTGCCACTTATATTCTGACGCTTCCTAAATCTGTTTTACTAAACCAGGTTTTCTCAGCCTCAAATCTGTATATTCAACAGTCTACTAAAGCAATATCTTCGTTTAGATGATATAAAAATAGACTGTTCATATCTAAACTTACCTTTTTTCCTCCAAAACTATTTCTCCTACTCTGTCCTATTCCTCCATGAATGGCGTCACCAGCCACGCAGTTGTACATACCTGGAATAATTCCTGCGTAATTCACCTCTTGTCCCCCACAGTCAACCACTATTTCTGTCAATTCCATCTCAAATCCATTCACTTTTCTCCATCCCCATTGTTAGTATCTGATTTCAGGTCACCATTACCTGTCAGATCACTGAAAGTCTTTATTTAGGTATTTAACAGGTATTTATTAAGTGCCAGACGCTGCTCTGGGCACTAAGGATAGACTAAAAAGTAAATATAGATAAAAATCCTTGTTCTTAGGGAGGTCACCTTATAGTAGGTCAAGATAGACAATCATCAATGAACATAATAAATAATCAAGTTATACATTATTTTAGACAGTAAAAGGTATTATTGAAAAAGAGTCAGAGTGAGGGAAATGTTGTGAGATGGGGATGAAGCTGTTTCTAGTGTTTAACGAATGTTCATGGACCCGATGATTAAGCAGCTGGGACCGGAGGCAGCGAAACCCACTAGAAGACTATTGCAGCACCACAGATGAGAAACGGCGAAGGACTGGACTAAAGTAAGACAGTGAGGATGGAGGGAAAAGGAAAGATTTGAGAGCTATTTAGGAGGTAGGACTTAGGAGATGTAGCAGCTGATTGCTTGTGGAGAGAGACTGGGCTTGGTTGACTAATGGGCTGTGACACTGCAGGAGAGGTAAGGGAAAGAGCAGGGAATTTGCTTCCAATTGATGGTTTTCTGTTCTTGCCAAAGAGGGTGGCGGGAAGATGGTAAATTCAGTGCATTTCTCCAGGCTGGTAACACTAGTGGAAGACTGAGGTGGAGATTCCTGCTGAGCAGCTCATACAGGGTGGGGCAGTTGTTCATATAAAAAAATAATGCAATAAATTAATAAATAAGAATACAAGACTAAACTCTGTGTTTTGTGTGCTCACAACTGTAAACCTACTTTTGCCCCACCCTGTGTTTTAGGAGCGGGACACAGAAGCGGTCTCAGCTCTGGGAGTACACAGGCAGAGATTCTCAAACTTTAGCAAATGTAAGAATCAGCTGGGGAGCTTGTTAATACTTCAGAATCTTAGGCTCAAGCCCAGAGATTTCTTTTCGGTAGCTCTGGAATAGGGCCTAAGAATCTGCACTTTACACACACATGCACTAGCACAGGTGTTCCGGTCCAAACCTCACTTTAAGAAACACTAATATTGATGGTGGATGGGACCTGAGCATGTAAAGTGAAGGATACAAGGGTGTGAAAGAGAAGAGACTGAAGGAAGAGATGTAGAGAACACAGATAGATGGGGAGGACTCGCGGAGAGAGCCCTTCTGCGCTGTGGTCTGAGAGCTCTGCGATTCGCCGGCCCACATCATTGAGTGTCCTAGACTTGTGGTCCTTCTTCTTTGGAGCGGGGAGTTTGTATGAGACCAAGTGAGAGAGACACTTTGGAAAGAAGTTGGGTTCAAATGTCAAAGGGCCTTGAATGGCTACCTAAGGAGTTGATCCCATCGGTTCTGTCAAGTGTGAAAACCATGATGAAAGCATTTGATCAGGACAAGAGGATGATGAAGTCAGAAGTTCTGAAGGATTAGTTCTGTACCAAATGTTTGGGAGGACAGGAAAGTGAAGAACGATCAGTTAGGAAATACCACAGAAAGAAAATAAAAGCACTAACTGAACTATGCAAAGAATAAGAAACCCTCTGAAGCAGGCAGAGGGCTGAAGCAGATTTAATTGGGTTGGAGCCTCCGTGGCCAGGGCTGGAGAGAATTTTTAGGCAGGGTGATTAGCAGTGCCAGCTTTTACAGATATGGCTAGAAATCCACCTGCCACTGAAAAAACAATAATAGCATAGATATTGTCAGAGGGATTAATGCTGAACAGAGAACTTTCTCATCCACATCTGTTGCTAAGGTGATATGCTTTTGACTTTTAATTTTTGCCTTGAGAAGGCTGAGTATTCAAGGTCACTGTGACTTTCCCTGAAATTCTGAAACAGGAAACAATTCCTACCTTCATTTCTTTTGAGACCATGTAAATGGCCCAGAAAACAAAGATAAATATCAGCATCATCAGTAATTTACGAGCCGTGGCATTTGGAAACAAAATGAGCATCCTATAAGAAAGAACGGGAGAAACAAACACACATTAAATGAAATAAACATGATATTGCTCTGTATACTTCGGTTCCTCCTCAGTACTTTCCAGAACAGGATTATGCTCTGTACACTGCTATCTCCTTGGTTTCTGGAAACTTCCATTATATGTTCTATTGAAATCAGAAACAACAATACACCCTAAAGCAGGGAACTTAACTAGTTAAAGGACTCCTGGTTCCTGACCCTCGGGTTAATTCTTCAGTTAGGAGTCACATCCAGGCTCTGGGCCTTTTCTCTCATCAGGGACTCCTTGGCCCAAGGAATCCTGGTCTCTAATTCTCTCTTGGATGTACACACTTACACACATGCACACACATGCTTAATCTGGTGCCCTTCCTCCCTGGTCTTACCTGCCTCTTGAGGCTTCATTCCAAATCTCCCATTTGTGTGTTTAGGTAGCTCGTTTCACCTCAGGCTCTTAGTCTCCTCTTGCTAAAGTGGTTGAGAAACATTGCCATAAAGGGAAAGGGTGTATTCTTTAGAAAATTGTCATTGTTGAGTGGTTGAAATTTTAGTTTTAGTTTTTTAAGCCCAGAATCCCAAAAAGTGTGTAGCAAAAAGCTAAATTATGTCAGTGTTTCTCAAACTTTTTTGCCCAGACCCACGATAAGTAACCATCAAATGGCAAGCATGAGTGCGCACACACGCACACACACACACCACAATCTCATAAAAATACTTATACTGCATGATATTTTCTAGTTATTCTATTTTAACCCATTCCATTTTATTTCATTTTAAAGTATTTTTCATGTCCAGATAAAATGATTTTTCTATCCCTAGAGAGTTGCAATGCACCATTTGAAAAGCACTGGCCGGTCTATGGCTCTCCCTCCTGTCTCTGCCATTCAACTTGCAAATAAGAGTTGGAAGGTACCACGCCTATGGGTGAATATTTTCTCCATCATACGCTCATACTCTCACAGGAATTACAGAAACTCTCTGGAGTTTCCTTGGTTAGAGCAGTCTTTGCATTTATTTCAGGGTTGGAGTGTCCCTATAAGCTTCATTGATCAAAAGCTGAAATGCCATTTGTGGCCACAGTGTGCTGGCTGGAATCACAGACCTTCCTATTCCTGCTCACTCCACAGAGCCAGAAGAAAGAGGCCAGGGGCGAGTGCTTAAGTTTGTTTGGGGAATGGATATGTCTAGTCACAGCCAGGGTCACCTTCTGTACACAGTGCACCTCCCTTGTCTTGCCTTTGCTCTTGCTGTCATGTGGGACCAGTCACTTCCACAGTAGCAAGAGAAGTATCTGAAAAACTGGAAAGAAGGAAACCAGAAACCTTAGTCCACAGTTCCTGAACAACTGAGAATTGATTTGGCTTGTGCTCCTCAATATTTGGAGTGCTTTCTTTCTAAACGCTTTCCGTTGTTCCAAACAACTGCATACAATCAGCACTCCAACACTGATGATTTAAATTAAATCTGAGAACATAAAAGGAAGAGCCATAGGTGTAAATCCCACTACAACTTGCATCTGCAACAGGGTGAGAGAAAATCCAAAGGAGAAAACTCAGTGGATGTGAGGATTACCACCACTGAAGGCGGTGCCCGGTCACAATGCAGCCGCCTACCAGGGGGCCTGTTTCCATCATATTATACTGGCCGTATTGGCTTTGCATTGCTCTGCATGAGAGTATCAATAGAAATAAGGATACCCAGATATAGAGATTCTAGATATAGATACAGATATCTAGGTATAAATATGTATGTAGATATACATACTTTCTTATCAAACCAGTTAAATTCTTACCTTGTTTTTTTGTTTGTTTGCTTATTTGTCCAACATCTAAGCACTACAGGGCAAGGATCCAGAGCAGTGACTGGCATATGGTGGGTGCTAAACAAATATTTGTTGTAGAGTTGTGCACCTGAAACCTATATAATTTTGTTAACCAGTATTACCCCAATAAATTCAATAAAAAGGGGGGGAAAGATTGCCAAAGAATTTTAATCCCTTAGCAAGTCTTTTTTTAGCAATAGTCATAGCCCCTGAAAGCTGAAGTTCATTCTTCTCTGCTTTGGGAATACATTCATAGAGAAGTTTGAGCTAAACTCAGGGAAACTCCCTGGCACACACTCAGAGAAAACTGTGAGAATGCTTGAGTGTGTTGCCAGCAGCCTTGTGGGAGCTGTTGCCCTGACCTCATGAACCTAGTAAGTATCCAGTGTGGGGACAGTGGAGGAAGGGAACAAACAATTGTTCTAGGCAGAACATTAAGAACCATTCCTGATATTTTCATCCATTTGGAGGGACATTTTTGATTTTTCATAAGAAAGCACCCAATCTCCTTCTTCCTGTCCAAGAAGTCCTGGCCTGGTCTCCGCTGTCTGGACTGCGTAGAATAGCTTCTCTGATTCTGGGGTTCAGTATCAGAAAGACTACTTGCCTTACAAGTATAAGCCACATTCTCCAACTTCAGGTTAATTAGAAGTAACTGTGATTTGGGGGTGCAAGGGGTGTTCTCATTTTCCTTTTCTAATTTCTCCACTCATTCAGAACTCAGTCTGGAAGAGAGAAGATATTTATTAAAACCCCTTTAAAAATGATGAATTTCCTCAGTACTGTGTGTCATCAATTGCACTTGAGCTTTTAGTTCATCTTCTCATTTAACTCTTATAAACTTGGAGAGTTCAAAAGTATTATCTCCATTATATAATAGAGAAAGAGAGATGTCTGAAAGTAAAATATTAGCTTATGTTTATATAGCCTCTGTCTAAGCCAAGGAGAGAGGGGTGCAAACTGTGACCCATGGGCCAAATCTGGTCTGAGGCCTGTTTTTTATAAGTGAATCTTTCCCTGGAAGACAACCATGCCCAGTTGCTTACATGGTGCCAAAGATTGCTTCTTCCCAGCAACTGGGGAGCTGAGCAGTCATGACAGAGACCATATGATCCCCAAGCCTAAAATATTTACCGTCTGGCCCTCACTGAAAAGGTGAGTGGAGTGCAGGGAGAAGAGGGGGCTGTACTCACTAAGTGGAGTTGGGAAGTGGCAGAGAAAGGATGGCTGATGACAAATTGTAATACATACTCATGGGTCTAATTATCTAAAGTGGTGTAAAGAGGACTGAAGAGAGACAATAAACTATGAGGATTTAGATGTCACATGTGCCATTCAAGTGGCTATTAAGAACTCACAGAATGAGAATGGGATTTGGGGTGGGGAGGAAGGTCGAGAACTCAATACTAAACTCTTTTACAATTCAAGGGAGAGGTTAATAGCAAAGAAAGGAAGGTGGTGATGGGTATGAGTAGAAGGAAATGATTCTCAGAAAGAGGAGGAATTCACCTGGCCTGTATGGCTCAGTGGATTGAGGGTCATCCCATGTCCCATACACCAGCAGGTCACCAGTTCAATTCCCAGTCAGGGCGTATGCCCAGGTTGCCAGCTAGATCCCCAGTAGTGGGTGTGCAAGAGACAGCCNAAAGAGGAGGAATTCACCTGGCCTGTATGGCTCAGTGGATTGAGGGTCATCCCATGTCCCATACACCAGCAGGTCACCAGTTCAATTCCCAGTCAGGGCGTATGCCCAGGTTGCCAGCTAGATCCCCAGTACTGGGTGTGCAAGAGACAGCCCATTGATGTTTCTATCTCTCTCCCCCTCTCCCTTCCTCTCTCTGAAATAAAAAATACCACCACTATCACCATATTTTTAAAAAGGGGGAGGGAAGAATTCCATAGCAGAGGGTGCTAGAGATGTAACCAAGAATGGGTTCCGTTTCATATTCCATATTCCATATTTAGTACCCTCCAGCCCCAGAGCAAACTAATTTTCCCTCAGTTTTTCCCAGCGTGTGATGCTTTCCACTATTAAAGAATATATCCCATGTAACTGCATTTTTTGTTTTAACAGCTTAATTGAGCTATGATATATATACCATTAAATCCACCCATGTTAAGTGTACAGTTTACTGACTCTTAATAAATTTACCTACTTATGAAACCATAAGTTCTAAATTCAATTTTAGAACATTTTCACCATCCCGAAAACATCCCTCAAGTCTCTGTGCAGTCCTTCCTCATTCTCACTTTTAGCCCCAGGCAACCATTAATCTGCTTTGGCACCTTCACCAAAAAATCAATTGATTATAAATGTAAGGGTCTATTTATGGCTCTAAATTCCATTTCATTGATCTGTAAGTCTCTCCATACCACAAAGGCTTGATTACTGTTGATTTGTAAAAGGTTTAAAATTGGGAAGTGTAAATTTTCTGACTTTTTTCTTTTTCAAGATTATTTTGGCTATTCTGGGTCCCTTGAATTTCCACATGAACTTTAGGACCAGCTTGTTAATTTTTGGAGAGAGAGAGGGAAAAAAAGCTAGCTGGGAATTTTAGAGATATTGTGTTAATCTGAAGATCAATTTGGAGAGAATTGTCATTCTAACAATATTACATCCTCTGATCCATGAACATGGGATGTCTTTTCGTTTTTCAAGGTCTTAATTACAATATTTTGTAATTTTTAGATTATAAGATTTTCACTTACTTTATTTAATTTGTGCCTAAGTATTAATTCTTTTTAATGCTACTATAAATGGAGTTATCTTCTTAGTTTTATTTTCAGATTGTTTATTGATAATTTATAGAAATATTGTTGATTGTTGGATATTGATCTTATACCTTATAACTTTGCTAAACTCATTTATTTGTTCTAAATAGATTTTTAGTGGATTGCTTATTGCCTAATTGTCCTGCTTAGAATCCACAGTACAATGTCAAAGAGCAGTGTGAAAGCAGACATTCTTGCATCTTTTCTGATTTTAGGAAAAGCTTTCAGTCTTTTACCACTAAGTATGGTGTTAGGAGTGGGTTTTCACAGATACCCTTTTTCAAACTGAGGAAGTTCCTTTCTATTACTAGTATGCTGAGTGTTTCAGTCATGAAGGGTATTAAATTTTGTCAAATGCCTTTCTTTGGGGAGGTGTCTTTTGAGATGCTTGTGTGAGTTTTGTCCTT